TGCACCAAGCCCATTTGTTCAGTGCACTGAGATTCCTGATTTACGGTGCTCCCTCGTCTTGGGGCACTCGTGGACACTCGGTCACTGTTGTGGTCCACACACCTAGACACGGATTTCCTGTCTTGCCTGGTATGTGGAAACACTTCATAGGCTGATTTGGAACATGAAGATTCTAGTTCTGTTCTCTCTACGTTACTAAGACTCAGGATGGAATGTCCTTGGGGCCCAACCCAACACGAGCTCTGGTATTTTATTTCTCTGACATTTTAGTAGATCCGGGTAACAAAGGAGCTGTGGCTGCAGGGCAGGGAGGGCGTTTAACAGCCAACCGGACTCCGAGTTCCTGGAAGACTTCCTTTACGTTACCCCAGTTCTTTTGGTTATTAGTTATGTTTCAGAAGGTGTTTAACGTACGCCTGTTGAAGAGATGGAGTTTTCTTCTCTTGGGCAGTTGGTGAACACTAGCTGGCACCAAATGTGTAAGAATTTCCCCCCCAGCACCAGGCGCCAATTTGGCCTCCTCTGATTCAGTTCAGTTCCGACACATCTGGAAATGGCATCAGCCCACAGATTCAGGGTCAGTCCCACAAGACTGCACAACCCACCCCATGCCTTCTCCTCAGGTTTTTAATATGCTAAGACTGTTTCCAGAAGTAAGGGAAACCCTTTCATTCATCGACCCATTTGTTATGAAGGACGTTGCAGAGAGCACAGGTGAACAGTCAAATGAAGAGACACTCCGGGCTACGGATTGTGAAGGGGAAGGCGGAACTGCTGCACCCTCCCTGGGGGAGCCTCTGGGCACCTCCATACCTTCAGCAGCCCTGGAGTGCTCCAAACCCCTTTTTATGGAAGCTTTATCATGTGGGCATCATCAATTATTAACTCAGTCTCCAGTCCCTCTCCCCTTTCCAGGGAATGGGGCTGGAGCCGGAGATTTCCAAACTTTAATCATGGTTTGGATTCTAATAACTGTCTCCCATTCAAGATCCACCAAGAGTCGCATCATTATAATAAAAGATGCTTCTGTCTCCCAGGTAATTCCAAGGAAGGAGGAGCTCTGTGTCAGGAGCCCAGATGAAAGACCAAACATTAGAACTATAAATGCATATATTTATATCTACCCCTATTGCTCAGGAAATTAGAAAGGTTTTAGGAGCTCAGGGTCAGGAACAGAGATCAGAAATAGATATCTCTTATTATGTCACAATAACAGCAGGGCAAGTAGTTAACTGTCAGTTAAAACACACTCCCCCCTCCCCAGACAGAAAAATTAAAACACACTTCC